ACACGAAATGCATAAAAAATATAAAATTGTGGTTTCGTACATCGTAAAAAAACACTATTTCGTGCTTCTTTACACGAAATGCCTTTATCCATTTCGTTTTAGGGAATACGAAACGTTCATGCACGAAATATAGTTGGGAAAGGGTTAAAGAGAATTGCGGTTTTTTCTTTGAAAATTACAAATGAAATAAAGTCGCACTGCAAAGTGGTAAAATATGTTCTATGAATAGCATTTCAGTTTTGAGAATGACCCTCATTAGATTAGGATATTGATTAAATGTTAGTGGAATCATATGGCCGACAAGCACCATCAAATGTACAAAACCTTTTTTCTTACCAAAAGAACATAGGTAATAGGTTCACAAGTTGGATATGAGTGGGATTTATTAATTTTAAATATTGTATTTAAAGCTAATTCTTTTTTATTTAATTTTTTTTTTCTTGGCTTTCACTTTTAACTTAGGTGGTAGGTTGCAATTTTTCCTCCGGCCAAATGATGGCAGACAAGAACACATTTTTTGAGCCTTTGAAATGTTGATTTGCTTTGGGCCTTTTCTTATAAGAAATCATGGTGGGCCAATTTTTGTTCACTATACTCTAAAATTGTGTCCAAAAGTCTATATATTGTTTTTTTTTAAATATTTATTGCTACCTAAAGTGAGGAAATTGTTGGATTTCTTTAAGTGGGAGGACCCTTTTCATATAAATTTTATTTCATAGGGAGATGTTGACATTGGTTACTATTTTTGTGCTCTAAAAATTCTTTCCAAAACCGGGAAATTCTATGCTGCACCGAGCTATCTATTCCTGATGTTTGTTAATCGTAGATCTGCACGTGAATGTGTATGTGTGCTTAGTAGGTTATTATTTAATCTCATCTACGGTTTATCAATCGATTGTCACTAATAAGCTGAATTTTCATTAAATAATATCATTAATGTATGATTATATTTAAATTGAAAATATTATATAGAATTTTTATGTAATACCAGATTTTAACAAATTTTAAAACTAAATCGAAAAATGAAACTAAATCCAATCTAATATAATTCAAATTAATTCGATACGTATATAATAATTATAATTGAATATGACTCATGGACTTATTGCAATTAGGAAAATTTATGGAGAAATCAAATTTAATACTAAATTGAGACAAATGTAAATTATTAAATATTATTTCACAAAAATAAAAAATATATATAAAACCAAAACCAAATTGGCATTCTGATTTCGTCAATCCATAGCATGTCGAACAAAATAGACAAATCAGAAGCTAGAAAGAATAAATTATAGTCTTAGCTTTGCTTTTCATAGACTTCTAGGTTAAGAAGATTCTATCAATTATTCAATTTTAATTTCAAGCCAATCCAATACGTACATTTCTACATGGATACTTACATAATATGTAATAGAGTTAAATTTCTATAAATTAATATAATATTTATGACTAATAAAATTTTATTAATTTAACTAAATATTAAATTACTAAATTGATAAATTACTACATTTACATCGAGTCGGACCGAGAGAAATTGTTATTTAATTAATATTATTAATTTGTCGAATATTAATTTATTGAGATTAATTTAATTGTATTTACCTTTCTAAAAAAGACAGATTCTAAGTACCATAATTATTACGAGTATATATTTACTCTTCAGCAACCAGGAATTTTGAGTGGCGAGTAAGGTATAATCAAACTGCAATCATAAATTTCGTGTGACAAAGTGTACATTTCACGATCCTTTGAAACAAATAAATAATAATTCAAATTAAACAATAAAGAAATGCGTTTTAATGAATATATAAATGAAATCAATAATAATCATAGATTCCTTCTTCAATTATTAATTTAATTTGCGGGTACAACACTTAAAAAAGAGTTTGTTCAACCATCTTTACCTAATCCGTGCAATTAGTTCTCAGCTAATTGCACGTAATTACATTTAATAATTTAAATGAGATGGTTAGACTCGTTACAATATAATTGAGTTGGTATCTAATCTTACTTATTATTTATTAAACGTTCTTGCATGAATGGAAGCTATATTTTCAATATTTTATGTTATAGTAAAATTCTACAAAGCCTCACATATTTTGGTGTAATTCAAACACATCTTCTAATGTTGAGATTCCAAATTTTCTTGCCCGTATGAGTATAGTTCAACTGTTTCGAACGATAAATTGGTGAAAGATCCTAGAATTTGAGTATTGACAGACGTAACGAGCGTTCGTTTCTTGTGGACATCAAGCCCGCTACACTAATGATATTCCTCAATAAGAAAAATAGTTGAACTAGAGGATGAGGGCTCGGAGGCGAGATATTTCGCCTTTTTTTGTTGCAATATTTCAAATTTCCCTTCTAAATTAGATTACATTTATCATTAAGACTACAAATCACGGATAACTGGATTTGATTGATGAGATGTGCCTAGGGGTGTCATAGGTCGATTTTATAGGACAACCGACTTAACCCATAAATTACGGCTGCTAATCAATCATAATATCAACCGAAATATGAAAATCGAACGTATAATTTCAACAAGCCCACGTTTAATTTTATCGAATGTTAGTTGCGAAAATATCGATGGGATAGTTGTTGTTATCCGTTATTTCATATTTGACCTATAAAATTTAGATAAATAATCGATCAAATGCGATTATCATTGACTCATAATCGATTGACCCGACTCATGAACAATAATAAATATGACTTAAATAATTCTTTACACAACTAAACTAAATTAAATGAATCCAATTGTATTTTCGGCCATTAGTGTAAGCCACATGCTTCCATTAAATGCATCAATTATAGAGAATTCTATTATTCAGCTAATTACAGTACAATCATCAAATAATATAAAGGGTTAAATACAGTTTGCACCCCTAAAGTATATCCTCTGTAACACTTACCCCCTTAAAGTATCATTTGTAACACTTACCCCCTCAAGCACAATTTAATTTGTATTTTTAAATTTTAATACCTTAAAAAATTATTTTGTTGAAAGGAATAACTAAAAGAATAAGTAAATTATACAACTAAAAATATCTGTTAAAAAATACAATATTTTAAAATTTGAAACTATTATCTTGCGTTAGATATTTTTTCAATAAATAACATCTAATTGTTGTTGGACCAATTAATCGAAATACTCTATCGATAAATTTTAAGAAATCAATACATAACTAATAAAAATCTTAAGTATTTAAATTTATTTTAGTTTATTAATTATTTATATATATTTTCATTCATTATTACCCAATATATATTACTTTTTAATTTTTTTTTCAATAATTAATTTTAGTTACTTTTCAATTTTCTATGAACCGTTAATTATTAGATTGTTATGTTTATTATTTTTTAAATTTTAAGTATAAAATAATTGATGTTGAGGGGGGTAAGTGTTACAAATGATACTTTAAGGGGGTAAGTGTTACATGAGCTATACTTCAGAGGTGCAAAGTGTATTTAGCCCTAATATAAATAATTGTTCATAGGGTGACCTAAATTTTTTTATTAGTTTTTTTTTATTTGGAGATAATATAAATATCCAACGAAGACCCTTAAATTCGTTAATTCGGGCACGGTTGCAATTTCGCATAAATTATGGGGAGGCCCATGTGATTAATTGATAACCGTACAACCCATATTTTGTCCCTTACTAAAAGCTCGAAGAACATCTTGCACGTGTGCCCCCTCATCTTTTAACTAATTAAAAAACATGCACACCATTTACTAAGCCAACTCATAATAGTACTAAAATGACCTAACATGAACAAGCACATCTGTACTTGGAATATATTTGCATTTTTTTTTGCTGGATTCAATTAATGATATTACACAAGAACATGTATACAATTGTTAAGTTCGCATGAATATAACTCAACTGATTTTTAGGTTGGTGCAAAATTCTGATTGAGTATCAGATAGATGCAATTTGGGAATTTCAACGTAATGAAGGTTGATTCCTTGTATGCATCAGATCCAAGTTTACTATACTAACTGACCGCCAAGTCAGCATAATTTACATTCCTCCATCAAAACTTGTTAAGCCACGGGATGGAAGCTCTAGGGTCGATGAATTTTGCGTTTTGGTGCAATGTATACAATTGTTAAGACTACACAAAGATGTTGTAAATATAAATAGATACTGTGAGTAATACAAAATATTTGTAATAAGATCCATTGAACCATTTCAAAATCAAATTGACTTTTTCTAAGTTGAAATTATGATGCCGAATATATTTATTAGTCCAAACATAGGAAAAAAAAAGGAAATTAGATGCTATACTTGACTATTTACATTGAACGAATTTCAGTCGAAAATTTAACTAAATAATTATACATTAAGGACACACGTATGAGTTTATTCAAATAATGTAGATTTACAATTGAAATCCGGCCTTTTTAGTGTAAATATTCGAACGTAGCATCTAATTATCCGACCAAAAGTAACCGTAACTAAAACTACAAAGCAAGCTCAAGAAATTCGTTTTCGAGAGACGAAAGTAAAGGAGCACAAAATTTAAATCCTTGGTTTAAAATCGTACCTAACTTTTATTTATTTTATTTTTTAAACTTAACTTTATAAATAATTATTAGTGTACATGTATTATTAGTACGTATTCATGTATTTCAACCAATTTAACATCTATTTACAGCACGTTCTTTTGTTTCCGATATTTTGTTTATATACGTTCGTGTGTCTCTATATATATAGATACATACATATACATAAATATATATATATATATATATATGTACTCGCCCCTTCTGCCAATCTGACATTCTCTCTTAACTCCACAAATATATAAAATATGGATAACAATAAAGCTCCACCGCCGCCGCCGCCGCCGGAGCTCGACATAGACAACCTTCGCGCCACCAAAGTACTCGGCAAAGGCGCCACCGGCACTGTTTTCCTCGTCCCCGACAATTCACGCGGCGGCCAACCCTTCGCCCTCAAGGTGGTCGAGAAATCCTCCGCCCACAGCAAGCACCACGCCGACCGCCGCGCCCGCCACGAGATATCCGTCCTCAGCCGCTTCTCCGCCGCCGCGGAGCCTCACCCTTTCCTCCCCCACCTGATTGGCTCCGCCGAGAATCAGGAGTTCATCTGCTGGGCCATACCCTTCTGCCCCGGCGGAGACCTGAACGTGCTCCGGCACCGGCAGAACGACCGCGTTTTCTCCCCCGCCGTCATCCGCTTCTACTTGGCCGAAATCATCTGCGCCGTCGAACACCTCCACGGCCAAGGCATTGTGTACAGAGACCTCAAGCCGGAAAATATCCTCGTGCAACAGTCCGGTCACGTGACACTCACGGACTTCGACTTGTCACGTGACTTGGTCCCCAGAAAATCCGGAATCTTCTACTCCGACACCGACGAAGAAAAATCATCCAAACAATACCCGCAGGCGAAGGGGAGTAAGATCACGCGCTTCGTAATTCCCAAAAGAGGTAATAATAAGAAGGGGGTGAAGAAGGCGAAGAGCGCGCGTGTTTCTCCCGTCAGCCGTAGAAACCCTAACGAATTAATCTCAGCCAACGAGCGCTCCAATTCATTCGTCGGCACCGAGGAATACGTCTCGCCGGAGGTCATACGCGGCGACGGCCATGAATTCGCCGTCGACTGGTGGGCCCTAGGCGTCCTCTGCTTCGAAATGCTGTACGGTGCCACGCCGTTCAAGGGGAAGAATCGGAAGGACACGTACCGGAAAATTCTCTTCGCCGAGCCGGAGTTCATCGGTAAACCCAGCGCGTTGACCGACTTGATCGGAAAGTTGCTCGAAAAGGACCCCACGCGCCGCCTGGGGTACCACGGCGGCGCGTCGGAGATCAAGGAGCACGAGTTCTTCCGGGGGCTGAATTGGGATTTGCTGACGGAGGTGCTGCGGCCGCCGTTTCTGCCGTTAAGGGACGAAGAGGAGGCGGCGGAAGGTGAGATTGGCATAAGGGAGTATTTTCAGAAGCTGAAGCTACCGCCGCCGTCGCCATTACGGTCGCCGTCACTGGATGATTGTAGTAACGGTTTGTCATTAACGGAGTTCTGACTGACACGCACGTGTAAAGGGCTTTGATTTTAATTTGTTTTTCTTCTGTAATTATTAATTTTATATTATCTGTAAATAAAATAAGGGTATGACTGGAAACTTGGCGTTAATTAAGGGATAGGTGTCAGTGGTTAGATATTAGAGATGAGAATTAGATTTGATGTAATTTAAGCTAATCATAGTTGAATTGGTGGTCTACTCCCACACGGTGGCGCGTGGTATATAATCACCACACAGCGGTTTAAAAGGCTGCTGCTTGTAATGATGTCCAAGATTTTATCGTGTACCATTGGAATTTTAATATTCATGGTTTCAAGTTTTATTATTTTGTTTTCTGGTGAGAATTCATGAATTTTTTTTGCTCCGAATTGTAAATATTGTATTGATGAAATAAACCGAGTAATTTTTTATTTATATGTATAGATCTATACACATTTATGATAAAATACGACTAAATTTAACACAAAACATAGTGAATTCTTAACTTGGAAAAAAAGATAGAAAATTTGGGTCCGAATTAAAGTATCTAGGACGAAATGATACGCGTATTTCATGTTACTTTGTGTGAAGCAAACTGATACTCTCTGTGTTCCATATGTCGTTTTTCACCGTTGCATAATTCTTAAGAAATTAAATAGATGTCTTGGTTTTAGAAAAAAAACATATAAAAAAGTTTAAAATAACTTTTATTATTTAATGATTTATAAGAGAGAGTTTGTGCTTATAGTTGAATTAACAAGGTTAAATCACGAAAACATGCATTCGATATGTATTAGAAATCTAAAGTAACAGATAATATGGAAGAAAAAAATTAAAAGTAAAAGGGAAAAAAATGTGAAATTTGAGTTGGTCTAATGATGAGAAATTTAGAGGGGTGACTTGAGTAGCATTTTTGCTTTTTATTGTGATGGTATTAAGTCAGCTAGATTAGATGTCATGTGACAAAGTCGTGTATGAATGAGTCGCATTTTAAATTTTAGATAACTCAATATATTAAAATTGTTGACATTGTTCATTGATTAATGTATATGTTTCTCATCCGACATCCAAGTTTGGTAATTCAAAATTTGATTAGAAAACAAATTCAATGTTTCGATTTCTACAAAATTTGAATTTAAAAATGATCAAAATCGCGTTTGATGTCGAAACAATATTATTAAAGCTCGAACGAGACATTTATCACGTCAATTTACACTTGAATCCACAATATTTCAATCCACCGGCAGGGCAACTTAAAAGTTAGTCTTGAATTGTACCAAACGGCAAACGTGACATTCAATTCAAATTTAGTAAAAAGAAATAAAAATAAAAATGGCCCCTATTCCCTACCGAAATGGCCTTTTGGGGACAAAAAAAACTAAGTAGGGGACAATTTTAAATATATTTATAATTTCAGATTATGCTATAATGTTTTTAGTTTATACTTTTTAGGCTTAATAATAAAAATACATGTGATACCTGGTAATGGTCCTGTATTTGCTTTATTGCCCTTATTTTGAGGATTAGTTTTTAAATATATATTACTGAAAGGTAAGCATCAATTTTATTTTATTTTTTGCTTTTAATTTCTTTAGTTGCTTAAAAGGTGTGCCTTGGTATCATTACTTGACAGTATTTCTGAAATTACGGATCTGAATTTGATGATATTTTTTTGCCTAACTTCCACCTTTATCACACATTGTATAATAATGATAATTGATTAGTCGTCCCGTAAATGATGGCTTAGCGGTTGAAGTAAGAGAGTTTGTGTTAAATAACTATGGTTTAACTTGTCGACTGTCACTAGGTTAAACTTATCATACATTGCTAGTCTAGTGTGATTTACGTTTCTTGTAAAGCTTACAAGTTATTATACGAGAGTGTACATTTATCCCTTGCACCTATTTCTGAAATATTATACATGTCATTATAAACTAAATTTAGATAAAATATTTGATCGGAAGCAAATGTATGTAATAGTAGGGTAAATTACGACCACCCCCTACATTACGGCCAAAATTACGAAAAACCCATCTTGTTTGGGTAATTACAGTCACCCCTCCCTTTCAAATATTTTTACATAAAATTTATGTAATTCGATTATTTACCGAACGAAATCGTATATTCACTTCGGTAAATGGTATGAAATGTTGGCGTACCAAAATTTCGGTTCGGCTTTACCGATATAACATTCCTAAATTTATCTGTAGAAGGGTAATTTCGTAACATAATATATAGTTGAGGATGGTGACTATAATTATTCAAACTGGTGGGGATTTTCGTAATTTAACCATAACCGAGGAGTGCACATAATTTGACCAATAAAGTATAATTAAAAAAAGAAAAATAATCTATTGAGGAGGTGAAAGGACACCCGTGTGCCTGAAAAACAAATGGGCCAATAAAGTTGCAAAGCTTTGGGGACCTCAAAACTGCTTTTACAGAGATTAAATAAAAAGAATGAGAAAATAAATAAAGCTTTTTTCCATAAAAGAAACACCAAATGTTACTTTAGACTGTAAAAAGGTAAACAAGATATAATTATAAGGGTAAATTCGACTTTACCTCCTTGTACTCTGCCCGTACTCTTAATTTCGTCGATTTACCGCCTTGTACTTGTACAATTTCCCAATACAACCCTCTTCGTCAATTTTTTTCGATTTTGACTCTGACGCCACTTGGTCAAGATTCAAAATATTGACGTAAATATTGAATTTTTTCGATTTTGACTCTCGAGATTAGAAAAGAGAAAGTTTCACATATTCATATATTTTTTTTCTTTGCACTGGGTGGAATCGATCAATTTTTTGGTCTTGATTTTTACTAAGTTAGGTGTTCAATTTGGAGATATCTTGAAAGGGGAAGTGGTGGGACAAGAAGAATTGACAATATTGACGGAGGAGAAACGACGCTTTATAGGCAGTGGCGATTTTGTAATTTGCAGAGTTGACCAAATGGCGTCAGAGTCAAAATTGACAAAAGTTGAAGGAAAGGGCTTTATTGGGAAATTGTACAAGTACAAGGGGGTAATCGATGAAATTGAGAATACGAGGGGGTAAAGTGATTCTCAGGCATAGTATGAGGGGGTAAAATGGAATTTACCCTCATTATAATTAGCAATATTTAAGAAGAAAAAAAAAAGACAAATATAAACTTGTACAAGGCCTGTTACGGTTCCCGCCAAAATTCACACTGTTAGATTTGTCACAAAATTCAATTTGATTTAACCAGCTGACAAGGATTGGAATTTGCACCTGAATGGGTCTTCTTTTTTGCCCATGTGGCAGGATGTAGAACTTTGTCCAAATTACGAAAATACCCCTCCGTTCTCATACTAGTTCAAACATTCTGATTGCCACGTCTCCAAATCGAGAACGGAGAGAAAGCGGCAGATTCCGAAGCCATCCCGTTCCCCGTTTTGTTCACCGTCACACGCTCGTTAGCGTCCATCAGAACATCCGAATCCCGCCAGAATTTGATGATGTGGAGGCTCTCCTCCTCCGTCGACCGCTGCAAGATGATTCTAGAAGCATACCCTTTCTTCCTCATCTCAAGACACAACTCCAACGGGTTATTTGCCGCTAGCGTGACCAAATACAACCACCCCTTATCCGACAAAAGGCCGTCGGCAACCGGCAATATCCGATCAATAACCCTCCGTCCGTTTTCACCGCCGGCCCAAGCCGCCGCAATGCCGCTGCAGCCGACCTCCTCCTCCGGCGTCGGCACGTAAGGCGGGTTCACAACAATCACGTCCACGGATCTTGCCAGGCGCTTCTCGAGGCCCAATGCGATGTCGGTGTTCACTACCTCTGCGTGACAGCCGTGTGACTCTAGGGTTTCCCGAGTCACCGTCACCGCGTGGGGGTTGATGTCTGTGGCGATGTAGTAGGCCCCGCCGGAATATTCCTTACCGAGGAGAAGGGATAGGGAAGTGATCACGTACCCGCTACCACACCCTATTTCCATGCAGATCGAAGGGCGGTGTTTGATTAGGTTTGATCTATCGGCTAGAAGTGCGTCTACCAATGCGAATGAGTCATCGCATGGGTCGTATACTTGTGGATGGGAACTCATTAATTGGATTCTTGCAATTTTGGGGAGCATGTTGTGGAAACCTTAGTTAGAGAACCCTGTAACAAAGCCATTTACAAATTTAGTGCAAAAACATTACGGTTCTAGAATCAATGCAATATTAGTCTCGAAAGCTCGACACAATCAAAATAAAGCGCATAGCAAAGAAGCAATAGGAAGTTAAGGAACCAATATAGCAACAAACAAAAAAATACCTATATCGTAAAACATACTACTACGTTCACTAGTAAAGAGTAAAGAGTTAGAAGCATTAAAAAAAAATTGTATCGAGGCAGCAAATCATCATAAACGTAGCTAAATTTTAAGCAGTAAACGATATTGAGATCGACAGTGACAGCATGACAAAGTTGTTGAAAAATAGCAACTCAAGTTTCTTACAGAAGATGCTAAATTCGTGACCGAAGCAACTCAAGTTTCTTTTGAAAGGTGCTAAATTCAAGCAACTCAAGTTTCTTTCGAAAGGTGCTAAATTCGTGAACGAAGCAACTCAAGTTTCTTTCAGAAGATGCTACATTCGTGACCGTTTCGGAAGGTGCTAAATTCGTGAACGAAGCAACTCAAGTGTCTTTCGAAAGGTGCTAAATTCGTGACCGAAGCAACTCAAGTTAGCTGTGATCAAATCTAAAGGTGCTAAATTCTTGACAAAGCAGCTCGAGTTTCTTTCTCAAAGCACAAAAACAAAGCGGATAATCTTCGAATTCATATATATACATTTGTGTTGCTTTCTTCATTCTCCAAATTTTCTAAAAATAGAACAATCAACACCAACACAAAGTTGACACGAACAAGAACAAGGAGCTGATGTATATTTTAGGCTTGTGAATTTGAAGGATTTAACCCTAATTAAAAGATGAACATAATTGAATTTTTTTATCCAACTCCAAATTGACAAAATAGATTCAACATTTATCATTCATGGAAGATGAATACCTAACAGCTCAAATTTGCGGAAGGCTTCCTTCACCCACGAAATACTAGTAACTAAAAAGTGAATTACAATCCGATTCAATAAATCTGTTTTCCGCAATTGTAGACGATGATATAAAAGAATAAACAGAAAATATTCTGAATCTAAACCTAAAATCAAAATAAAGAGGGGTTGATATTACCAGGGGATTTCGTGACGAACAGCTGAAGAAAGTGAGTGACGGCGCCGCCGAACAGAAACTAAATTTAGCCCAATTTACAAATTTAGCACAAAAGCCCAATTGGATCACAATTTTGGTACACAAACTTCTCACTTTTCATTTTCTTCTTTATTGGGCCTTTCTTTGTTCGACCTATCTTTCAGTTTCTAAAAAGAAAATAAAAAAATTCGGGAGTGTAAAACTAATTTTACTTTCGTTTCGAAAATATCAGAAATCGAAATTTTATAATTGGAAAAAAAAATGTACTTGTTTCATAATTAAAATAATTCTGATCAAAATCCTCAAAATTCCATTTTTTTTTTTCATTTACCTACAATATAAGTACATAACACTTTGATTAATATACTTTCCGATTTTTTTTCATCGAAATCCACAAAAATATTCAGATTGAAATCGACGAAAATCGTAAATCCAGTTCGAATTTCGAACAAAAAACTTCTATCCAACTCATTTGAGCGAGGCATCAAAATAATGCATCCTTTTATTTTATTATGTCTCCTTCAATGCTTAATTATGCTCGTGTCACTTTCGAAATTAAATCGAAGTTCTATTTCTAGTAGTTCATGGTCACATTTAAGCATTTATTTTGAACTCTCCAATACAGTAGAGGTGATAACTATGTATGCATAATTGCATATTATTAAATTGGACCACATTATTCACAATAATAAATAATAAATAATTAAAACCTAGCTGAATGACTTGTCGAATTACAATTCCAGTTTAAATAGAATAAAAAGAAAGGTGGAAAGACAGAAGGAAACCGACCAAATAATTCAAGTCACGGGTGGTGGTCACACTCGCAAAGATGACCCACAGGTTACCATAGCGAAAGCAACCAAACCAAGATTATAACTGATCAATGACTCTTGATAATCATAGCTAACTGCAAACTCGGTTTTTGTATATGCTACACTCGATAAACTAGAAATATGTCGACTGATCTTGACATTTTATCTACACATAATAATACACACATTCATGTTTTTTTTATATATATATATATATATATTATTTACTTTATAATATTTCAAATAATTATTATTATGATAAAATTCCTACAATCTTACAACATTTTATGATGGATCTTTAATGCAATAAATTTTATATTTTAATTTTTTTTTTATATAATTTGAAGAGTTATTATTATTTTTTTTTTGGCAAATTACTCAAAATAATTAACAAATGGCATTAATATTATTTTGCCGGTTTTCATATTTAAAAATAAAATAAAAACTGCAGTAATTAAACCCCTATTATAATCATCTAAACACTGCGTTTAACAACAAAAACGATTGCGTTTACGGTTCCTTAAAACACACAGCCAAGAAAAACCAGAGACGAAAGAACGCCTACAACAGAAACCACACGTGTGTACATGTCAGATATACGTGAATTTCATTTGTCCTTTTTTTCTCCTCAAAAGCTGATCGCCGTTAAATTTGACGGTGAAATCTCAGTCCGTCAGTCAGTCATTACCACTTCTTACCCCAATCCCCATTCCCAAATCACTAGCGCTCATCCCATCCGTGATTCTGCTTTGACGGTTTGTTAGATCCCCTCTCTCTCTCTCCTCTTTCTCTCTCTAGAAAATACCCAAGTAGGTATGTGGAATCTATCACTCATTACATTCTTACCTTAAACTACAAATCTTTCGTACCCACACAAATAAATAACCACTGATTGCAACCCCTACATTTACGAAAATCAAACTGTTTTTAGATATATATACACATAACACATTACCCACTGGATTTCTTTTCTCCATGATTCCATCTATACATACATATATACATACATACATACATTCATACATTCATACATACAGCGGCTGCAATAAATAAATGAGGCGGATGCAGCAGTGTTAGTTACCACGTATCTATACCTACTCACCATACAAAACCCCTCTCTTCACACTTACACCAAAATCAAGAAAGAAAAAAAAAATGAATCGTTCGATTTTGGTTAAGGTTCTTCTGTTAGTTCTTTATCAGTTATGCCGACAAATTTTCTGTAAGGAGTGCACAAACATACCCCCATTGTCTTCACACACTCTGCGGTACGAGCTTGAAAGTTCGGAGAACCAGACGTTGAAGCAAGACATGTACTCACATTATTACCACCACCACCTGACGCCGACAGACGACTCGGCGTGGTCGAGTTTGTTTCCTCGGAAGATGCTAAAGGAAGAAGAAAAAGATGATGGCGAACAGAGATGGGCTATGTTGTATCGAAATATCAAGAAAGGGATCGTTGATAACAACGGAGGCGGAGATTCGTTTCTGAAGGAGGTTTCGTTGCATGACGTGAGGCTCGATCCCGGCTCGATATTCGGACAGGCGCAGCAGACGAATTTGGAGTATCTATTAATGCTAGATGTCGATAGTTTGGTGTGGAGTTTTCGTAAGACTGCCGGTTTATCGACACCTGGCGAACCGTACGGTGGCTGGGAGAAACCGGAGATGGAGCTTCGCGGTCATTTTGTAGGTTCGTTTTTTTTCGTACTAACGAATCCCTTTTTTTTCTTTAATTTCTTCTTTTCTTGTCTGATTTTTGCTTATACTCTGTTTTCAATAACAGAGAATGTGGGGTTTGTAATATTAGATGATGTCATTTCTTGTGTGTTATTTGACATTCTTCTTGTTTCGTTTTCGGTTTCGGTGTTCGGTTTTTGGTTTCGGTAACTGTTTGTATTTAAATATTGAAGGGCATTATTTGAGTGCATCAGCACAAATGTGGGCTAGCACACACAATGAAACACTTAAACAGAAAATGGATGCTTTAGTTTCTGCTCTATCGGCTTGCCAAGATAAATTACAAACCGGTTATCTTTCGGCTTTTCCGTCTGAATTTTTCGATCGTTTCGAAGCTGTTAAACCCGTTTGGGCTCCCTACTACACAATTCACAAGGTATATAATTATAATTTATATATACACTATTTATTCGATTTTTTTAGGGTTATTTCCGTAATATTTGAACAACTTTTCGTAGATATTGGCAGGGCTTTTGGATCAGTATACTTTAGCTGGAAACGATAAAGCTTTGAAAATGACGGTATGGATGGTGGATTACTTTTACGGTCGAGTTCAAAACGTGATTAAAAAATACTCGATCGAAAGGCACTGGTATTCGTTAAACGAAGAGACGGGAGGCATGAATGATGTCCTTTACAAACTATACAGCGTGACGGTGGGATTTAGTTTATAGTATATTTCGTTTCGTTTAACTGAAATAACTAATTATAATTTGAGCTGATAATCGTTTGTTATGTATATGGCGGGCGGTGGGCAGGGTGACGATAAGCACTTGTTGTTAGCTCATCTGTTCGACAAGCCTTGCTTTCTTGGATTACTAGCCGTTAAGGTATATCGATTTAATTCCGATAATTTAAATATTCCAAATTGTGTTCTAATTAGTAATTATTTATTGTTTTTTTTTTTTTTTGCTTACAGGCAGATGATATATCTGGCTTTCATGCGAATACACACATTCCGGTGGTGGTCGGATCTCAAATGCGGTACGAAGTAACCGGTGATCCTCTGTATAAGGTATTATTTCTCTTAATAATTCTTATTTTTTTTAAATTTCATAAAGTTATTTTAATTTCGATTTTATTATCAGGAAATAGGAACATTCTTCATGGATATAGTCAACTCTTCTCACAGCTACGCCACCGGAGGAACATCAGTTAACGAATTCTGGTACTCACGTTATTTTACTTTCGACCCGTTTATTAATTTCAAACCTCTTTTCATCATCGAACGACAATCCTTAATTTTTAATATTTTTGGTTTAATTATGCGTAGGACTAATCCAAAGCGGTTAGCCGACACCCTAAATACCGAAAACGAAGAATCGTGCACGACTTATAACATGCTCAAGGTGAATCCATTACAATAAATTAAACTCTATATCAAACTGCTAATAATAACATTTGAAATATATACTTAAATATAATATAAAACATGTAGGTGTCGCGCCACCTGTTCCGATGGACTAAAGAAATGGCGTACGCAGACTATTACGAACGGGCTTTGACCAACGGAGTGTTGACCGTTCAACGGGGAAGAGATCCGGGTGTCATGATATACATGCTTCCACTGTCACATGGCAGCTCGAAGGCCCATAGCTACCATGGTTGGGGAACTAAATACGACTCTTTTTGGTGCTGTTACGGAACAGGTACATTATTATTATTACAACACTAAACTTTATTCCGGTTTTGAAATTTTTCGATTTTTATTTTTTTCGGACAGGAATTGAATCGTTTTCGAAGTTGGGAGATTCGATATACTTTGAAGAGGGAGGAAAAACTCCGTCTCTCTACATCATTCAGTACATAAGCAGCTCCATAAATTGGAGAGCAGGAAATATTTCTCTAAGGCAAGAAGTCGATCCAATTGTTTCGTTGGATCAACGGTTTCGAGTTGCGTTCACATTTGCATCCACCGAGGTATAATTGTTTAATTTGATCAACTTTTTTTTTAATCGATATAATTGTCACGTAATTTTTTTTTAGCAGCATTCATCAGGTGGAACAGCTACACTGAAATTCAGAATACCTCTATGGACGAATTCCGACGGTGCAAAGGCATCGATTAACGGTCAGGATTTGCCGTTGCTAAATCCAGGTAAAAAAAATCATCCTTAAAAGTGCTATATAGAAATTTATATATTAATTTAATTTAATTCAATGCAGGCAATTTCCTATCAATTTCTAAAAATTGGAGTCCAGGTGACAAAATCATTTTTGACCTGCCCTTAAGTATTAGAACTGAGGCAATTAAAGGTAACATAAAACATATATTTAAATTAATGTCACTAACTAACTATACATATATTTTGTTTTCTCTGCTTTGTTAAGAAAATTGTTACGGTTACCGTTCAGATGATCGGCCGGAATATTCTTCACTCAAGGCAATATTCTACGGGCCCTACCTGCTCGCCGGTCTTTCCGACGGAGAATGGGAAATCGACGCCACGTCAGCAACTTCAGTTTCAGACTGGCTAACTCCAATCCCACCTTATTACAACTCCCACTTAATCTCTCTCTCCCAAGAATCCGGCCAGTCAGCATTGGCCGTCACAATCTCCAACGCTTCGTTGAAGATGGACTATATTCCCCCGCCCGGGAATAACTCTGCCGTTAGATCAACTTTTCGAATCATCCCGAAAGAAGATCCTAAACAACTCAAAAACTTTACGAACCCAAAAGATGCTATCGGCAAACTAGTAGTACTAGAGCCGTTCAATTCCCCGGGCATGGCTATTGCACACAACGGAGAAGGCGGGAATCTCGTAGTGGCGACGGAATATTCCTCCGCGGCTGTTTTTCGATTGGTTCGTGGATTGGACGGTGGAGATTCGACGGTGTCGTTGGAATCTAACGACCGTAAAGGTTGCTTCGTTTACAGCGGAGCGGATTCGGAAAACGGGACGACAATCAAGCTTAGATGCAAATCAACGTCGGTAGTAGGTAACGACGAAGATGGATTTAAAAAAGGCGCGAGTTTTAGTATGGGGAAAGGGTTTAGTGAGTATGATCCTATTAGCTTTGTGGCAAAGGGGAAGCAGAGGAATTTTCTTATGTCTCCATTGCTTAGCTTGAGGGATGAATCTTACACTGTCTACTTTAATATTCATTCATGAACATCATAATCATGGTGTGTGTGTGTGTAATGTACTACTAGTAAGATGCAATAACTAAATAAAAAAAGCTTTTCGACAAATATTTTAGCATGAATTGTGGTGTAAATCGAACGGATCAGATTAGAATAAACCCTTTTGGAAAAAAATCATTTTTTTCGGAAGTGAAAAACTAGTTCCAATTTGTTCCAAAAAAAATCGAATCGGAATTTCAGAAATTGGAATGAAAATTTTGATTCGGAATTCGAAAATTTCTATTTTTTGGTCACCTAAAATATAAAAATACACAATAATATTGGTTTTTTAAGTGTAATATATGAAGAAAAAAAATCGATTTCCGGAACTTAAAATCGGATCGAAAATCAGAATCTCATATATATTCCAATTCTGATCCAAATAATTTCAGAAAAATTGGAATTTCGAAATTCAAATTGAAAAATATGTTCTAAAATCGGAAATTTTAGGATTAGAATTGACGGAAATCGGAAATTTCGTTCCAATTTCCACCTCTAACCGTGGGTTCTTTGTAAAAAAAAATAAAAAATAAAAGAATTGGAATAATCCCTATTCTATAGGAAATGAAGAAAATCCCAACATTAATGGAGAAAGAATACTTCTAAAAAAGAAAAAGAAAAAGAAAAAGGCAACGCAAATACTGCATTTCTGGTGAAACAGATATAGATTACCCATAAAAGTGATGATGATCCCTTTATGAATAATCCAAAGCTAACCAAACCAATTCACACATAAGCAACTTTGTTCCACTCTGCAGCTAGCTGCATACACTCACTCTTCTCTCTCTCTCTAGAAAACACCTTGTAATTTGCCCATCGTTGCAGCTGTTTATGCAGTAGTTCTATGATTTCCGATCGTTTCTAATGTTTTATTTTTCCTGCATGTTTTTTCTCTTATTGATCGTTTGAATTTATCCGCTACGTGATTTTTTCTTATGCAGTTTATAATTTCTTAATTGACGATTGAATTATGTCCAAGGGTTTCAGTTTCTTCCTGATGCTTTCTTCAATTAAAAATTTACTTTCTTAGAAAAAAGTAGCAAATTCACAGTCGGCGGGATTAATTGTTCAATTGATAGTGTAGAAATCCAGACAACGTTCATCTTTTCTCGTTGAATTAGCGTTTGGGGGCGGAGGGATGTACGGGCAATCTTCGCCTGCCCTAATCGAGATGCTAGGAGGGTTTGTTCTGTTTTCTCTGTTTTTCGCGTTTGTTTCGAGCAAGGTTTGCACTAATGGCGGCGTGACGTCATCACACACTTCTCGATACGAGTTGTTGTACTCGAGGAATTCATCGTGGGAGAGACAAAATCTAGCCCAACTGCATCTGATTCCTAGTGACGATCATTCGATTCCGAGGAAAATGTTGAGAGAAGAGGATGAAATTAATTGGAACATACTGTACAGAGAAACGAAGAGCTATGGTGGAAAGAGGGTTAATGGAGTCGATTTTCTCAAGGAAGTTTCGTTGCATGATGTGAGATTGGACCCAAATTCGATTCACGGTATTGCTCAGCAGACGAATTTGGAGTATCTTTTAATGTTGGATGTCGATCGGTTGGTGTGGAGTTTTCGTAAGACTGCAGGTTTATCGACACCTGGCGAACCATACGGTGGTTGGGAGGCACCGGATGTCGAACTCCGTGGTCATTTTGTAGGTCGGTTTTTTTGGTTTTGCTGCAATTTCGAATTTGATTTTATTTAGTTGAATTAGAGGTATTTTTTTTTCTTCTTGAATACGATTGTTTGTATTTTATTGAAGGGCATTATTTGAGTGCATCGGCACAAATGTGGGCTAGCACACATAATGCCGATCTCAAGGAAAAAATGTCCGCTGTGGTTTCTGTTTTATCGGAATGCCAAAGCAAGATGGGCAGTGGATATCTTTCGGCATTTCCGTCTGAACTGTTTGACCGATTTGAAGCTTTACAAGAAGTTTGGGCTCCGTATTATACGATCCATAAGGTAGAAGAAGCTTTTAGTTGATGTTCTGATTGTGTTTGTTGATTGATTCTTGATCTTATTTTTTGAGAAATTTGTGCAGATATTGGCTGGTCTTTTAGATCAATACACTTTGGCTGGCAGTGATCAAGCTTTGAATATGACGAAGTGGATGGTTGATTATTTCTATAACCGAGTGCAAAATGTGATATCAAAGCACACAGTTGAAAGGCATTGGCTATCGTTGAATGAAGAAACAGGTGGCATGAATGATGTTCTTTATAAGTTATACGTTATCACGGTGAGCTTGCCTCACTTATAAATTCATGTTGTCTTTACATGTATTGTTTCTTGATGTTTTTGTAATAAGTTCTTTGTCAAATAACATAATTAAAGAGTTATGACTTACGATACTCATCTTGATATTTATTATCGATTTGCAGGGCGACAAAAAGCATTTTGTATTAGCTCACCTGTTTGACAAGCCGTGCTTTCTGGGTTTGCTGGCATTGAAGGTAGTTATTTCCGTTTCCGTTTTAACGATAAGTTGCGAGTTCAGATATTCGTTTACGTTTTCCTTCATTTTGTTCTCTTGATCTATACGAATGTGATATATTAGATCTTGTTCCAGTTATTGATTAATTAATACTTTTCACTTTTAGGCTGATGACATAACGGGTTTTCATGCCAATACACACATTCCGATTGTTGTTGGATCTCAAATGCGGTATGAGATTACTGGCGATCCACTTTATAAGGTAAAGCTTAGTGTCTGAATACTGAGAATAAACTTTTTAAGGTTTTGAGGACAACGGTACGGAACTTTTCTTCTACTTCTTCTTCTTCAGGAAATCGGACTATTCTTCATGAATATAGTCAACTCATCTCACAGCTACGTGACGGGAGGGACATCAGTCGGCGAATTTTGGTGCAAACTTCAACATATTTGATATATTTTTTGAAGAAACAGCAATTTTTTAATCGATAATTTTATGATGTCAGTTTTATCAATTTGGTGTAGGTCTGATCCAAAACGGTTAGCCACTACTTTAGAAACAGAGAACGAAGAATCTTGTACAACTTATAACATGCTAAAGGTGTGGTTCTATTATGTGATACTTGGATTCTTAGTTCAGACACTTAAAAAAATTGGTTGCACTCTTACACGCATGTTGGTATAGGTTTCTCGCCACCTGTTTAGGTGGACCAAAGAAATGGCATATGCTGATTATTACGAAAGAGCCCTAACAAATGGTGTTTTGGGCATCCAACGAGGCACGGATCCTGGAATCATGATTTACATGCTTCCATTACAGCGTGGTGGCTCTAAAGCTCGAGGCTACCATGGATGGGGAACAAAGTTCGATTCATTTTGGTGCTGTTATGGGACAGGTGAAAACATTGTTCGTTTTTTATAATTTAATAGTTCTATATTTTTTTTTAATTATTATGATATATGCAGGTATTGAATCGTTCTCAAAGTTAGGAGATTCGATATACTTTGAAGAGGAGGGAGTAGATATGGGGCTTTACATCATACAGTATATATCAAGCTCCTTTGATTGGAAATCGACTCATGTTGTGCTCAGCCAAAGAGTGGAACCTGTCGTTTCATGGGATCAAAGACTTCGTGTAACAATCAAAATTTCATCGAAGAAGGTATATAAAATCTGTTATTATTTCCCGATTACTTTCATTCGAAGTAATATTTGAATGTCGAGATATATATTTTTATTGTTTTGCCTGTAATATGCCGTTCTAATTTCTGCTTCATGCAGCAAGGAGATGGAGCATCATCAACCCTAAATTTAAGGATTCCACTTTGGACATATTCGAATGGTTCGAAAGCATCTTTAAACGGTCAAGAATTGTCCTTGCCGCCACCTGGTAATGAACCTTGTCTCTTTTCGATAAATTTCCTATGTCCCGCTAAAGAAAAAGTCAATAAGAAGTTGATTTTTTTTTTACACTCTCGATGCAGGCAATTTCCTGTCGATAACTAAAAATTGGAGCAATGGAGACGAACTCATTCTTGATCTGCCTTTGGCTCTAAGAACCGAGGCTATCAAAGGTACAAACACTTCATTTTATATATATTGGAGCTATATAACAACGTTCATCATCTTTCTTGCAGACGACAGGCCGGAATATTCTTCTCTTCAAGGCATCCTCTACGGGCCCTACCTTCTCGCCGCACTGTCCAGCGGCGACTTTGACATTAAAACCAACTCGATTACTCCAGTTCCTGCCGATTATAACTCTCAACTCATTACACTCTCGCAACAATTCAATAATTCCGTTTTGGTCCTAACAAACTCCGAGGGAGTTTTAACAATGAAAGAGTCTCCCGAAAAAGGAACCGACGCAGCTCTAAAAGCTACATTCAGACTCATAACTACAAACAACAACTCGGACGCGGAAACTTCCGCTCCAGTAGCAAACAGTGCAGTTGGCGGTACAGTTGTTTTAGAACCGTTCGATTTTCCCGGGATGTTTGTTTTGCATGGTGGGGATGGTGAGGGTCTTGGAGTGGGGGATTCGAATTCATCCAACCGTTCGTTTGCTTTCCGTCTGACAGACGGATTGGACGGTGAAGATGGAACGGTGTCGTTGGAGTCTGAGAGTGAGAAGGGGTGCTTTGTGTATGCTGAGGTGGCGAATAACAACGGTGTGGAGATGAAGTGTGGTTCGGGTTCGTTTGATGATGGGTTTCGAAGGGGGGCGAGTTTTAGGTTGGGGGGTGGGATTAGTAAGTATGATCCTATTAGCTTTGTGGGTAAAGGTGTGAAGAGAGATTTTATTATGGTTCCTTTGCTTAGCTTGAGAGATGAGTCCTACACTGTGTATTTCAACTCTTCGACGTAAAATTGTTGATCAGGCTAAGATGAATAAATGTTTATTTATTTAGAAAAGAAAAGAAAAAAAAAAGAATAAATGTTTTATATTTATTTTTAATATATATTATTATTAACTTAAACTTGTCGTGTAGTGTCCAGGAAGCTGCCAAATAGGAGCACGTGCAATGTTTCATTGGCTGTTGATGGTTCTGCCAGCTGCCAGGTAAGAACATAATTGAGGTGGAAAATAAATATTAGTAGGAAAACCAACTGTATACTGTTGAAATTTATTATTTAATTGTTCTATAAATGAATACACAAGGTCGATATGTTATACATAAATTAAATCAATCTCATAATTCCCGCGGAATGTGACTAGTCAATGATGAAATTTATTGCGAATTTCTTATTTTAATTAATGAATTATTGTATATTAAGAGATTAGAGAATAAACTTTTTGATAAATTTATTCGATGCTAGAGAAGAAACTTGCTCAAAGTTGAGGTGTGAGATTTTATTCCAAATTGGATTCGTATGCATCATTCATAGAATATGTGATTTATAATGTACAATTTAGTGACTCCGAGTCTGAGTCTAGACAATGTAGCATGTTTGTAAACACCTTACACCTAGATCTTGTTTGGTTATAAGTGAGACAATAGAAAAGAAATTAGTAACTATCCGTTGCAACAAAACCTTATCTTTCAAAATTTATATTATGACCGTTATATGCAGTATTTATTATTTATTTACCAGAGTACAGCATTTCTGTCTTATACTCTTACCCAATAATCAATGAGAAAATGTCATAATGCTATTTGTTACATTGACCAGACATATCAGTTCAGCAAAACGACACCGTTTCATTGAACTTCCAAAACATTAAGCAAAAACAAAATTCACACAATTTAAAAAAAAAACCATATTATAATACACATGAAAACATTTTCCCATTTCCCACCAAACATGGAAAAAGAATGCTAGTTCAAAGCTCAAACTCCAATTAAAGAACTAATAATATGATTAATTACTATAGTTACATAGACATATCTATTTCTATGCTATATTTTGGTGAAATACATCGGCATCGAGTCATCGACAGTACTATTACAATTTATTAACACACCCACACATCCATTTTGATGCGTGTAGATGATGAACAACAAATCTTCACCCGATGTACGCTTCACCAAATACAGCATAGATTCGATCATTATCGAAGCAAATTATATGACCCGGGAAAATATGAAATAGTAAATAATAATAATAATAATAATAATAATAATCGGAAACTATATATTATATACCTAATTAACAAGGTCGAAGTGGCTTCCCGCATAGGCAATCGTTGGACTCAAACGACGACGCTTCAAGATGATCGAAAGGGGATCCGGCCGGAATGGGTCCACACAGATGGTTATGGCTGACGTCGAGGTGTCCGATGTACGTCGCCGACGAAATCGACTTTGGAATTCTGCCTTTCAATTTGTTGTACGATAAATCCATCACCGTGAAGTAAGATCTCGGTCCGAACGAATCTGGTATGTAGCCTTCGATGAAGTTTCTGCTCAAATTCAGTATGCTTATGCCGGAGCTGATCAGCGTCGGTGGAATCTGGCCGGCGATCTGGTTGCCGTCGAGATTCAGCGTGGCGAGAACCGCCATTTTACCGAGGGAAGCCGGAATCGGGCCGGACAGCCGGTTCAGGGAGAGATCCAGATCGGAGAGGCGGTAGATGTACGAGATCGACTCCGGGATCAACCCGTTCAACTCGTTCTTACTGAGTAAGGCGCGGCTCAGCATCCTCAGCTTCCCGAAATTTCTGGGGATGGTGCCGGAAATTCGGTTTCCTCTGATGTCCAAATGCATCAGCGAGGACAGGTTGGTCAGCGAGCGGGGAATGGTGCCGGAGAGCTGGTTATCCGCCACGTTCAACACGGTGAGTCGACTCAGTCGGCCGATATCCGCCGGAAGTTCGCCGGTGAGCTTGTTCCCGATCAGGTCGAGGATTCGAAGGTACGGCAGCGAAGCGATGCACGGAGGGATCGGACCGGAGATGCCCTTCCAATCGGCGATGGTGAAGCTGGAAAGCCGCTCGAGTTGGCAGACGGCCGGGGAAATCGAACCGGTCATGTACCCGGTTCGGCGGGCCTTACGGAAGATCGGGTCCTCCGATTCGCCCCGGAGGTTGATGTCGGCGACTCGGTGGCTCTCCTGGTCGCAACTCACTCCATACCACTTGTGGCAGCAGTCGTAGCCCTTCCACGAGTCGAAGATGCCCAAGTAGGGCTCCTGCAGCGCTGCCCGGAAGGCCAGTAGAGCTGCCCGGTCGGAAGGCGGGCAGGCATTAGATACAGAAGTTAGAGATACGAGTGTTATTACTACTACTGCTGATAACGCGTACAGAAAGGTGGTGGTGGTGGTGGTGGTGGCCATTGATGAGACTGCGGTTTTTGCGATTGTTTCTCTCTCCTCACACTTCTCTGTTTCTCTCTCTAGAAATCAGTTTCTCTCTCAGTCTGACAGTTTTGCATGTGAGTGTGTTTTTTCTTCACTGCAATGTCATGCACGTTGAAGAGTGGGCTGCCTGGGGGTTTATATATATACTGTGCGGATGTGTGGAATGACGCTTCTACCCCTCACGTGTGCTGTATGAATATCGGTCTACAAGTCAACATGGTTAGGACTTCATAGATAAGATTGAGATTTTCTCGATGGATAATGGAGAGACGAGAGAGTGACAATCTTTTTATATTTTATAAGAAAATAAATTTATTCATAATAATTAATAACAACAAAAAAGATAACAAAAGTTTATAATAATTACTAGTTTTGATTAATATAAAACATACACAAATTATATGGAGTTCTTTTTTAATATTTAATTAGGAGTATTGAATAATCAATAGTGACAGCTCTTCAATCATAGCACAAAGATGAGGATGAGTGTATAGTTGCAGATGGAGGATGTTGTGACACGTAGCATTTAATTGTCCATACTCCATATTAATTATGAGTGATATATAATTTAGGACTAGACATTAAATTTTCAAATAACACTATTAATTCCCTTTTGTGGCAATTAAATCATCAAATAATGATTATTGTCCTCCATTATTTTTCTTCTATAGTCATAATTTTATGTTTGGGGGACGAATAATACTATGCATGATTTAAAAAAAATAAAAAAAAATTACATAAAATAATAAGGATTTGAGAATTAATGAGGGGTCATGGCCCCTTTTATCCTATGCTGACTTCGTAATTGAGTTTGGTATTCGTTTTAATGTCTTCTGATTTGCGGTCCTGGGCATTTTCTTTTATTGGATAACAAACTAATTTAAACTCGATCATGGACCAAATCTATGGGACTAAAAATGTAATATTCTTTTTTTTTTTCTTTTCTAATTCAATTTTTGTATGGGGTGAAATGCAGGGACTAATTATTCATAGTAACTTTGCACCCGATTATGTATAGATGTTTATAAAATATATATTAATCATTTATGGTTGGATGATCTATTCGATACAAAATATTGAGTTTAGTATAGAATAAATGGCAGAAAAATAATAATAATAATAATAATAATAATAATAATAATAATAATAATAAATTAGATAATTATGATGATGTGATTTTTGAAAGGAGGTCATATTTGTTGTCCAAAAACTTTGGGTCCTCCGTATTTAAAATTACATGGTTTGGTACCTCAGGAAGAGGGATCATTTTGTTGTTTTATTTTTATTTGTGGGCGAAAAGCAATGTTTCAATATATCTATATATATACCAATAATTGATTAAATTATTATAGCAAGATCAAAAGAGAGAGAGAGAGAGTAAAATCGTATAAGTAAAATAGTACTAATATATTATTAAAAAAAAAAAGTAAACTGTGGTTACTCCTTGAAGTAAGATAAAATAACTTATGAGCCCTTGTAGTATTGGTAATTATAAATACTCCCTAAAACTAAACAACTTGTTACAAACTCTAAGGGAATGAATGAAATGTCTAAATTACTCTTTTGTCATACAAACAAATTATTGGTAAATTACGGGTAACCCATGAGATAAGACAAAATACATTTACCCCCTGCGAGTATATTACATTTACTTTTGGGGGTAGATTTTAAAATTTAGAACGAATATTCCATAGAATTTTTAAGATTACGTTACTCGGTAAGGCTATAATTGTAAGATCGAGAAATAACTCAAGGGATATTTATAATTTCCATTAATATTAAAGAACTTGTAAGTTATTTGGTCTTACCTCAAGAGGTGCCCGTAATTTACCCTGAAACTATACGAACGACAATATTACAAGAAAATTATTAAAAGAAAAAAAAAAAAAAAAAAAACCGACAGTTGCCTAATTTATTCACTCAGATTTGTCCAGATGCTATGACTTTAAGAAGATGGGTGCCCCAGCTTTTATCACCTCCTTATTGTACAAATTGGCCCACAATAATTGATTATTAACGTTTTCCCCCACAATACTATAATGGTAGATCTTATTCCTAGAATTTCCAGAATACAATCTGGTAACTTTTTTTTTTTAATTCACACACAGAGTTTCAGTTCAATTGTCTTTGAAATAGTGTTGGAGAATTTATCACTGTTTTATACTTAAATGATAATTTGCACTCACCTCCCCAAACTATTGTCATTTAACAATTTCATCCCCAGTATTTAAAATTTTAGCATAAAGCACCCTTACAAAAACTATAAGATCTAGATTGCTCTGAAGCTCTCTAGCTGGCGTACAGTAAATTGCGTCTTAAATAAACGCTCTAATTGTAGTCAGATATCAGAGGACAGAGAGCTATTATTCATTTAGATTTAGATGAATATATAAATAATAATTCAACTGACAAAACTTATTACTTAATTAAATTATACGTCCTATATATAATATATCGAAATTTTGTATTATTACTTTTCATCTTACAAATTCAGTGAATTAAATTTGTAATAAATGTATATATTGGTCGATTTCTGCTTAATTTGCTTTGTGATAAGTTAAACGGTTTATACTGCATTCATATACACACAAACACGTGCACGCTCTCACATTGGTGTTGGTGTGTAGATCAACGGTAAAAAATCACCAATGAAAATAATATACTATGGTCTAAAATCACCGAGTATAGTATTTGCAAAACCCCGTTTGCAATTGGCCATGCGGTGCAAGACACGTGGCCTCTGCTTTAGCAACCGAATTTAGAGATTCAAATATTGAATTAAATAATTTAATTAAAGAAGAAATAATATATATATATATATATATATATATATATATATATATATATATATATATATATATATATATATATATATATTTAATTTTGTCTTTTCAAGATTAACAATGATTAGCATTAGTAATGGAGAATGCATGTGCAATCTTAACGAAACAAATCTTTTTCCATGACATTTTCTCATTGTCCAAACATGACTCAAAGTTTGATTGGACTGTTTTCCCAACCCATGTCTATTCATTGTACCCAATAATTGGCAAATAATTAATAATTAGTATTTCTTTTTGTTGGGAGTTATATTTGCATCTAATACAGCGGAAGTTCGAATTAAAAATATTCTAACATGTATCTATAGACAATATATCGAAAAGATAAGACCACCATCTTATTTTTTGACGTAACCATCGACTAGAAACAGGTTCAATCGTTACAATACTAAATGAATTATATCAAAATTTTGTAACTATCGACTGGAAACTAAGTTAATAGTTACAATACTAAATGAATTATATCAGGATTCTCGTACATCATTTTATAGTTAATAAAGTAACTACAATCTACTGTCTCCACGCAGTTATGGGGATAATATAGCTTGCCGAAGATAGAGTTTTTCATTAACACGAAATATGCCGGTGTTAACTGGTAGAGTTGTTATCCCAGATTTGAGGGATTGATTAATTTTATCACAGAAAAACATTCACATGGCACAGACATGTGATTGTCGATAGAAATGCCATCACAATTGGAACTAAAACCCTAATTTTCTGTCCTAATTAATTGATTTTTTTAATTGTGAAAAATCTCACTTATGAGTTACTTTATAAATCTTGACGACAAAATTTGATTGAATTATGCAATAAAATGGTGCAGCTTTTAGTCAGAGACTGACATCACATGGAACTACCCAACATGTTTTCTGGATTGTTTATTTCTTCAAGAAAACTGGACCAGTCTTTTTTTTTTTATTTGTCCTAGATTTACTATTAGATATGTCTATACTGTAACTTTGTGTGTGGTACCCTCTTTTTTTTTTTTTTTTTTTTTTTTTTTATTTATTTATTATTTGAGTTCATATAAATATTTGAACAAACTACGGCAACTCCAGTAAGGTAAAATTAAATTACGAAAATTCTTTTTAATTTTAATTGATTATAATTACCTCTCAATTATGTAATGTAATATGAAAAAAAATCATTTTTCAGTAGATAAATTTGACACCGACCGTAAAAGTGGATGCGCAAGACAATACATAGTTGATGGGTGGTTGTAATTACCCAAACAACCGGGGTTCTGTCGTAATTTGACTTTAGCTTCAAAGGGTGGTAGTAATCTGCCTAAATATTTTGATAAAGTGTAGAAGTCGATTTCCGTGAATATCTTTTCTTTGAATTTAAGGAAATATTTTTGGTACTATACAAAGGGTTTACTAAAATCGAAATAATTTAGAACCAATTTTTTTAAAAAAAATTCACAATAAAATTTATAAAGTTTGTTTGTATTTTTTTTTTTTTTTTTAATTTAATTTATTAACCTTCGTTTGGAATTGGAACTATTTAAATAGTAATTCCGTTTACTCAAAAAAAAAAAAAATAGTAATTCTGTTATTATATAATTTAAAAAAAGGTTGGAAACTTTTGGGCCGAATTAAAAATACAAAAGTTAATTAGTTAATTAGTCAGAGAATCTGGGCCAGAAATACTATGATATATACAATATACTAGAGTGGGCTTGTACACAAATTGTTTCTTCGGCCCATTGAAAAAAGAAGAAGAAAATAAAAAGGTGGCCACAGGGTTAGGATCGTCAAATTGCAAGAGAGCTGACGTTGCTTTGACGGCGGTGTAACGTCATTCCTTTAAGTTAAAAAATGGTGGGAGATACTAGGTGGGGCCCACTTCTGCTTTTTAACCTTTTGTTTTGTTCTTTTTATCTCTACACTTGAGAGTGAGGGAGGATTTCCCAATACCCACGGCATTGAACGGCGCCGTTATATTTGGCAAGAAATTAACGATCCAAATATCCAACTAAACTTAGTGTGGTCACCTAAATAGAACAGTTTATTTATTTTTAGTTGAAGCAAATTTCTTAAAATGAATATAAATAGTTTATGAGTTTATTATCTAAATATTTAAAAAATAAGACGTAATAGCTTATCAGATATACTAGTTTAAGGAACGGAAACTCGACCGATGCCCTGTAATGTTAGCAACCACTTCATATCGTAATTAGAATTGTTTTAAATATGTAAAATTTGTCAACCAATTTCACTATTTTAAGGTGAAGAATGAATTAATATATAGCGAGAATATTGTATTGTTGGAAACCTGCTGTCACATATTTTACTTATATATATATATGATGCATACAATCTGATCTGATGGATTATTATATGGCATCTTCTAACCACAATCATGTGCACACACAATTTTTTTCCAATTTTTTTTTTTATTTTTCGTATTCCAAGATATTTGATGAAAACAGGCGTCGTAAGTTAAGATTAGTCAAAATAAGATTAAATAATTTTGTAAAAAAATAATTGTACTATTGTACATTGGTGGTCAAGTAAATAATCTCCCGATTGACCAATATTATAGCCATTTTTTTCCCATAATTGTGGGCAGGTCCAAAAAGTTATCGAACTAACCATACATCGAATAAACTTTAATTATTTAGTAATCGTAAATAATTTTACCAACTAAACGAAGCCGACATACCGCAATAATGGAACACCAAATTATAGTACCCTTTCATAACAGCAATCTAAATTAAGTAAAACCTACATTCTTAATTCAAATAAAGCACATAGAATTACAATTTACAATCAAGAAATTAAACTACCCTAGCTAGTGGCTAAGTTATCTATATATACTTATAAGCAATTAGCACATAGAGTTGTGTCTACCCTTTTCATTAATTAATTAATTTTTTTATTTAATGTATTTTTTCAAGATTCAACTTTTATCACCATGCAATAAATCCAAGCACCTTACATTATTAACAATTAGACAAGTTAAGGTGAGTGGGAAATCTTGGAGATCACATAAACTTTTTTCCAATATCCTATGTTATCTTCTCGTAATTAATGTATTTTTATAAGTTGGTCTCCACTTAGACTAAGTAATTAATAGTTTAACTAATCACACAATTAGGAAACCAAGCCAGATCCAAGATTCCTATTCGTCAAGAACTACGTATTATATAATCTATGTTGGGATGGCAGTTTACTGTTTCCATGCCATTTTTTGTGGCTGTTTAATGTGAAGACACGTGTACCAAACACAATTTTATGTCTGGATTATTTGTTGTTCAATATACAAATTTAGTTCATCACCATAATTAGTTTACATACTAAAATATTGATAAATCAATCGAGCGTGACACTAATTATGTCTAAACCTAATATATATATATATATATATATATATATATATATATATATATATATATATATATATATATATAATTGATGAAGCCTAAATGACTCAATCACGAAATAATAGAATAAAATTAAATTGAATGGGCTTAGAGTAAAAAAAAACCTAAACGAGAGGAAGCCCAAACGTTTCGAGAAACCTACAAAACAGAGCGTCGGGGAAGGATTTTTCGGTATTAGCACTCCGACAGTCAAGTCAGTTGGAATCGTAAAGAAAATGACATACATGTATAGCGAAAATAAGTGTGCGTGTGTATGGAATACTATAGAGAATTGTCTTTCCCTTGTGTCTCAAAACTGTATTTATACTTGTTGCAAGGATGGAGTGGTGGGATCGCTGCGGACAGTACTTGCCTGTTGAGGGCGGGCAATCTTTTTCCTTCGGGTCTGAATCAGTTTAATGGTGCGAGCTTGCTAGTGTGGTCGCTTCTGGCTCGGTCAATGTCATTTTAACAAGCTTTGCGGCCTTTCTCTAATACACCCGAATGTAATCACATCAATCGTTTATCCACCTCACGTAGGGTTAGTGACCGGCTTTACGGTGGATTAGTGAACAAATTTGAAGTAGATCTGACCTGTCTTTTAAATTTGTTGTCGGATCCTTATTATTTTGGGCTTCTCGGGGCAATTAAGCCCATATCAATAATATTTTTTTATTAGTGCCCATATCAAATAATATATGTGATTATCAATAATATATGTGATGTAACACCTTTAGTTAAATAAGTGATGTTTATTCACATATCTCCGATAATAATGGAATTGCATTAAACTAATAAATCAACAAAGCTTGCGTGGATCATGTACTCTACTTTTAAGTTGTTTTTAGCAATAAACAATGTTTAATTATGGAATTAATTACTCAATGACTTTCTATAAATAAGTGGGGCTGTAACATATATCACTCTCAAACACGGCACTCGATGGGCCCCCTATTCAAATTATTTACATAAATAATTAATTAAAAATCAGGATGCCAAACTTTATATTAATAGGTCTAATTAATTGTTCCCATAAAAAAAAAGGTCTGATTAATTGTTATAATTAAAAAAATAAAAAATAATTAGTAGTAAAAAATAAATAAAAGTTAAAGCATGAAAGTCATAAAAAAGGTCAACTGTGGGCTTTTAGTCATAAAATCGGCTGTCACCCTCAATTCAATTTATTGCATCATTTAAAAAAAAAAAAAAAAAAAGCCCAACAATACAACCCCCATACACCACAGGTGCCAAAAGTCTTTATAATAATCAATTAATAATAAAAATAATAATAATCAAAAAATAAATAAAATAAATTTGTTTTCTTGAATTTTCTTTGCCCCAAAATCCTAGATCTCTGGTTAGTTCCAATTGGCCCCAATATTTCCCATCTCTCTCTTCTTTCTCTCTCCAACACTAACTTCCGGTCTGCCACCACCACCACCACCAGTCCACCACCACTTTGAGCTCAAATCTTGGAGCAACTTTTTATTGTAGATAGATAAAAAAGCCATCTTTATTTTTTAAAAAAAAAGTGAAAAGTTCTTAGCACACACAAAAAGTATACATGTGTAGAAAAGAGCCTCTGGCTTTTTGCTGATTGTTTTCTTGTTATTCCGTTTTAACTAATTTCTGCTCCACCTTTCATTTTTCATTTTTTTTTTATTTTTTTATTAAATGAATAGCAATCATAATAATCAGCAGCAGCAGCAGCAGAATATGCAGGCGGCGGGGGCGGGATTAACGCGGTATAGGTCGGCGCCGAGTTCTTACTTCGCCAACCTCTTAAACACTCCGGCCGGCGCCGACGGTGGGTTCGGCGGCGCCGGCGATTTCGAGGAGCTTTTCAACGAGGCGCGGGCTTCGAGTCCGGAGACGCAGAGGATCTTCTCTAGGTTCATGAGCAATTCTGATGATTCCGTTCGAGAGAGCTCCTCCCCTTGTGTAATGACCGATTTGCCCTCACCGTCGCCGTTGAATCCACAGTTTTACCCGCCGACGAAGGCGGAGCCGGAGTTTGAGCAGCGGTTGCAGAGGCAGCGGAGCAATGATTACTCCGAGCCTGTACACTCTTCTGCTATGGACGGGGAGTACAACAGAGTGCTGGGCTCGTTCAGCTCCAGCCACGTGGCACACATGAAAATCGAACGCGCCGGCGCCGGCGGCGGTTCCGGTCTCATTCGCCATAGCAGCTCACCTCCCGGCCTGTTTGCCAACATAAATATCGACAACGGTATTTTAATTTTAATTTTTTTTTTATTTTTAATTTTCAACGGCCACAATTTTCTGAATTATTCCATTTAATTTGTGTGTGCTCATATTTTTATATGCATTTTTTCTAAATTATGTATAAATTCTTGTTTTATATCATATTTTACACAATCACTGAATTTGTGTGCTGAAGATGTTTTAGAAATTCATTACAGAATTCGGAACAATGCGAACCTTCGGAAGCGGCAATACTAATAATAACAACGCAGAAGCTTCGATTTCATCTTCAAGCAGATTCAAGAACCAAATGGATTCGATCGACGAAATTGAAAACAAGGGAATCGGAGAAAATAATTCTTCCGATTACATCACGGGTTTCCCCATGAACGCTTGGGACGATGATTTCCTCAACGAATTAGCTGATAACGACAACAAAAGATTTTCCAATAATGCAAATGATCAGGTTTTCGGGTTATATACTATAGTCCATTTTACTTATATATACATGTTTAATTAAATAAATAGTAATATAATTTGAATTGAAACAGAGCAATGAAGGTGGAAATAATCGACCGACAAATCGATTGTCGCATCACCTAAGTATGCCCACGAGTTCTGCCGAATTATCAGCGATGGAGAAGCTTTTGCAAGATTCGGTTCCTTGTAAAATCAGAGCCAAAAGGGGCCACGCTACTCACCCTCGAAGCATCGCCGAAAGGGTATTATTATTATTTTTTTTTTTTTTTTCGACTAAAGCATAAAAAATGTATTAAACGAAGAAAAATAAATCGTTACAGGTGAGACGGACCAAAATTAGCGAGCGAATGAGGAAGCTTCAAGAACTTGTGCCTAATATGGAAAAGGTAATTAATCAATTAATTAATGAATTAATGATGATGTAAGAAATTAGTTGGAATCTTTTTTTATTTTGTTATAAATTGAATTGGATTTGTAATAATGCAGCAAACAAATACATCTGATATGTTGGATTTAGCAGTAGATTACATTAAGGATCTTCAAAGACAAGTAAAGGTATGGTGTCCCCAGCTAGTGTGACTTAATTTACAGACAACTTTTTGTCCTTTCTTTTTGACTCTCTCTTTCTAATTCACAGACACTTTCTGATAATCGCGCAAAGTGCTCGTGTTCGGCTAAACATAAACCATCGTAATAGATTGATCATACGCGCCTCAGGGGTTGTGTTAAGATGATTATTTTCTTCGCCGAGAAAATACAGTTTTACGATATGATCGATGGGGTGAAGGGCAAATCGGTCATTAGTCTCGTAGTGTATAACGAATTTAGATTATATTAAAAATATTTTGTGTGGGCTTAGCTTGTTTTTCCTTTGGTTGAGAATCAATTGTCTAGATTGATATGTCTTCTTGTGACATACTTTAGGGTTGTGAATGATTATGTCAAGTGTTACCATTATTTTGTGTTGAAAAGGAAATATGGCATAATATATAAAGGGCAAGATTCAAGAGGACTTGTTATTAAAGAAGATTAATTGAAGTTATATTTTGCAAATAAGTTTTGGAGATGCTACACGCGATGAAATATATACCGGATGATCTGGAATAATTGATCTACATATAACAGTTTATATATATGCTTAGGCCCCGTTTGGTTGACTAGATAAAATTAGCCAAGATAAGATTAAATAATCTAATGAGACCCAATTATTTTATTGGAGCTTGAAAGGTCCAACAAAAAAAACTCATTAAAAGGCAAGATAAGCCAAGATAAGACAAGATAAGCCATGATTATATAATTTTGGCGGGTCGACCCGGCAAGTTATTGAGGATACCAAACATCAAATTAAGTCCAACTAAGGCTTATCTTGGCAACCAAACGAGGCCTTAGTAGATAGTTACTTATATAGAGATATACGGCATAAGACTACCGATGTGTTATACCAGATGAAGCATCTCATAGACCTTTGCAACTTGCAAGTAATTAAAGTCCTTTTAACTGTCCTTTTACTTGGGGATAATGAACGAGCTGAGCTGAGCCGCGACTCGACAAAATGGACCGGAGATCGAGCTCGACTAGTTCACACCCCTACTTTTATTCAAACGTGCGGCATTTGAGAAAATGGAGGGTGTGTTTGCACTTAACTGTGTTCCACTATTATTTTCAATCCCATTTACTCACATCTTTCCATTTATAGTAAGTATTCCATTATGTTTGATGTTTCATCCAAAAACCATATCCAGACCAAAAGCGTGAGTCGATAAACCACGACTTAAGTATATAAGTATTGGTTCCTCTGTAAAGTGTCTTGTCACGCTTTCTAAATTCTTGAAATCTTGTGCTTTTTTTTTCTTAAGGATTTTTTTTGTTTTGAGCAAGCATATTAATTTTTAAACATATTATATATATATATATATATATATATATATATATATATATAATTTTTTTTAATATGTAATTAAAAGATGAGATATTGGATGGTAAATTGGTAATACAGAAAAGAAAATAGTAAAAACAAAGTACTTTATGATGGTGGAGAATTAATTGTGAGTTGACGTGTACAAAAGATGACCCTTTGAAAACCCTTTGTGGATGTGGTGGGCGTGGAGAAATTAATAATGAATGGTCAACACTCAACACAACCTATATATACTACAAAATTAATGGGCCTATCCTTATTTATGCTTCCACCAATAAAAAAAATTAAATAAAAAAAATAAAACAAAAAAATAAAAATAAATCATAGCCAAAGGGATTTTAATAAACTCTAATTTCATGGATGGGAAAGAAATGGAGCATCTCCCACCGTTGATTGTTGGACATCAAATTACCAAATCAAAGCCCAAAAGTAATTTTAAGTGGCCCAATTGTTTATTTTAATCGATCCACTAAAATAAAATTAGGCCCAGATCTGGAAAACCAGCCGAATATTCTCCTAAATATTAAATAGAATTTGTTTTTCTTTTTCAGGCATAAAATATTAATAAATAAATAAATAATAATAATACTTAGTTAAGGGATTTAAAAAAAATAAAATAAAGAAGACTGCGCGCCACCAATCGTCTTTAGTATTTCATCGGTATTAACCAAATATTTTTCACTGGTATTTACTGCTTACGAATTTTCCCTCCCAATTATGAATTTCAAATACATTTTCAAATTCCCACAAAAAAATAAATCAATTAAATTAATTCCTCAGAAATTAAAAAAACAGAGAAATTTCCTCCAGGATTTTCTCAATCAGTAACACAAAAGCTTCAATCATGGATTCAGACGACGAAGAATCCGGATTCGGTTCCGATTTACCCCATTCGCTGGTCAATCTAACTTCATTTCCTTGCTCTGTTTCGCCTTCCCCACGCCGGCTCTCAAGCTGCTTCATGCAGCCGGCTGAGCCGGTGAAGCCGATAAGGTCGCAGCTGGCTTGGGTGTCCCTCCAGGGCCGGCTCGTCGGAGCCGAGGAAGCCTGTTCGGCTAGGACCGTCGACAAATACGGCGCACTCAGCGCTGAAGAGGCAGCGGCTTGGGAGGTTTTTACCCCAATTCAACGGGTGTTGATTGTGGCTGTTGCCGCGGCGGCGTCCGCCAACTCCAACAAGAATATGCAGATCTCGCGGCTGCTAAATTCTGTTCAACTCAGGGTTAGTTATTTATTCATTTATTCTCTGGCTAATTTCGGAATCTAAGAGTCTTAATTACCTTTTAACGCATTTTTTAGTTGATTAATTCAAGTGAGTTTCGTTAATTATCAGCTAACCTGTGCTTATGTTTTTTTTTTTTTTTTTTTTTTTTTTTTTTTTTAAAAATTTTTAATTGAAGTTAATTAATTAATTAATTTATAATTCTTTTGAATAAATTGTTTCTGCAGGACCAAGTACTTTTAAGCATGCAACAAAAGCTGGACAATCTATGTGAGCAGGTGAATTATTCCAATCAGCCTGAAGTTGTGTTGTCTCAAAGGGAATGTGATTGCAAGCCATGCCAACATCATAATTTACCGCCAAACGCTTCTTCGGTAAAATCGCTTACTATTAATTAATACCGTCTTTTAATGATCCTATCGTACGTAACAACAACACATGTATAGTCTACTACGTACTCTGCAACTGCTTAAATTGGTTACGCATACTTTCTTTATTTTTCTAGTTTAATACTTCAAGTAAAGGATTACACGAGGGTGAGGTTTTCCGGTGTTCAGTTCCTCTTCCCAATGAGGCGGAGCCAGACGAGCGTCGCATGTCTGATTTGTCTGATTGGGCTCCTAGTGTTGCTTCTTCTCTTGATATTCAGGTATATTTCGTTTTGTATTTAAATTGAGTTAAATGTTGCATTCAATCATTGCACGATAATGCAATCGAGTGCATAATAAACTGTTGCATCTGAATCGACACTATGGAATTGTAAATTATCCGTGACACAGATACGTATTATTGGAAATTTAATCTTATTTATTTTCTTATCGTTCCTCGCAGTTGGAAAATTTTGGAATCGGATATGATATTAATAGTCTTCGGAGGGAGTGTGAAGAGAAGGATAACACTATCAATGAACTCTCGACTTTTCTTCAGTCATCGGAGGTTTTAGGTTCAAAGGTAACGTTCTACACTTGTTAAGCTGTGTTGTTGTATTTACTATCTTTTTCTTTTCTGTTGCTTATTATTACACCGTTTCACTTTTGCAGAGGATAGCAGAACTGGAAGATATCATCCGCAGGAAGAACACGATTATCAACAAGCTCCGAAAGGACATAATAGTTCTGGAACAAAAGGTAACGATTCATCGCGTAAAACCTAAAACTATGCCACGTTGCAATATATTATACACTAAAATTTACTCTGATTTGTTCTGTGACGAACAAAATAATTACGATCAGGTGGTGAATCTAACGAGACTGAGAAGATCCTCTTTCTCATCAACAAGTACAAATCTGCAGCATCCCCCTGTAATGGCAGATAACGTACTGTACGACATGGATCCTTCGTCTTCTGATTCAGACACCTCTCCTAGGAACCATAAACAAGATATGGGGTTGAAAATGCAAGAAATCTCTGTTCATACGAGTGAGAGAGCTTCGATGCAAGATGTAAAATGTGGTCGGAATAAGACCTCGTCGAATAAATCACCTAATTCTGTTACGACTTTGAAACTGAAGAATGAAACAACATATGCTAGCGGAGAAAATAGTGGCACAAGACGAACTCAAGTCAAGCCCAAGGAAGTAGCCGAACATAAGAGATGGGCTTAGTAAGTATTCTCTCTTTTCGTAAGCTTCAAGTTCTGCACTTCATTCGACATAGCCATGATCCTGATTCGAAGAAACGTAGAGTATATATTCCATGAGTTTATTACTGTATTAGATACATCAATGTAATGAAACGAATTTGTTGCCTTCGATAATATATTATGGTGGACTCCGGTGAGTTGGATGCTACACGGTTATTTACACTGGGTGGATTTGAATCGTATATTTGATTAGATAACTACTCACTAAGCACACATACATGGATGTGTGTGGTGAATATGCGTAGATCTACGGTTCAAATCCATCCAGTGTAAATAACCAGGTGTAGCATATGCTTTCGGTTTTTTGAATTACTAAAATATTTTAGGACTATAATTTTGAAAAACATTTATATATATATTTTTTGTAACAATACACGCATTTAGAAGATTAGAACTTTGACTCGAGATACTTTGTCCAAATCTTGGAAATTATGTATTTATATATATATATATATATATATATATATATATATATATATATATATATATATATATATATATATATATACACAAATTGGTCTACTTGTATTTTTCTATTCATGCTAGTGACCATCATAATCAATGTAACAGTTGATATATTTTCAGTTCAAAATAAACTATTAGTCTACAGATTTTCCCATCTTGCAAGTTGACTTATTTTAAAATTTTCTATATTTTTATATATATAGTTTCCCTATCGAAAATTGAGTTAATATATTCTTTTATAAATTCTGATTTTGTTTTTCTGGAACAATTATCAAGTATCTGATATATAAAAAAATAAATAAAAATATATACATATATAAAAATGTATGCACACAAACACACATTCAACTTCCAATCATATTCGCCTGACTTTTCCTCCATCTCTATATTTACTCTGTATATATATAATAAAAGAAATGAGTTATCACAACACAAAACCTTCTTACCCGCCTGCTAAATACCACTTATGCCGATGGTGGTTTTGTCTCCATTTTAGGCACACATACATACATATATACGATATATATATATTTATATATTCATCGGAAAGAGTTAAGAAAACGTTCATTCCTCCCCACAGAAAATGCCGATGGATCTATCACGTCTTTCGTCGTCTTCCTCCGACAGCTCCCGGTTCTCTGCAGTCAGCTCATCGCCTTCGTCGAAAGGCTCCGCCGCAGTCGTTCTCTCGATCGAATGCTTAAAGGGGAGCTCCAAAGCCGACGAGTGGACCGGCGACATGCTTCAGACCGGCGACATAGTCGAGGAGCTCAGAATCGGGAACATGATTGTCAAATCTCCGTTCAGGAACGGAAAATCCGGCGTACAGAAAGTCCTCCACTCCTCGTACAAGCAGAAGGAGACGTCGATCCGTGTCCGGGTTCGGCGCGTAGGCGCCGAAGAGGACGAGTTCGCCGAGCTGCAGGCGTGCTTAGTCCCCGGCGACCAGCTTGTCGGGAGGAAGCAGTACGTCCTCCGGGCGATTGACGATCCGAACTACGCCGTCGGATTCGTTGATCGGACGGAGAGGGACTGCTTGAATTTGCAAGGTTAGTACAAATTTTTTTAGAAATTGTCTCCGAAGTTGACTTTTTTTTTTTGGCTGTTTGGAATTTTAGTTGGCAGGCTTCTTTGCGCACTGTTTGATTAGCTTTAGGCAAGGGACAAGCCTGAG